AATATATTGTTAGCAGGAAGAGATACTACAGCCGGCTTATTATCTTTCACATTTTTTGAATTAGCACGCAACCAAGACGTCTATGACAAATTAAAAGAAGAAATATATGAGAAGTTTGGGGATGGAAAAAATCACAAGATTAATGAAATAACATTTGAGTCGTTGAAGAAATGTGAATTTTTAAAATGCGTCTTGAATGAAATTTTAAGGATGTATCCGTCAGTTCCCCAAAATTTCAGGTTCGCAATTAGGAACACGACTTTACCGAAAGGAGGTGGCCCAGATGGAAAATCACCAATTTTTGTTTCAAAGGGCAAAAATCTCTTTTACTCCATGTATTCTGCACACAGAAACCCAAAATATTATGGAAAGGATGCAGATGAATTCAGACCTTCGAGATGGTTAGAATCAGAGATACGAAAGGTGGGCTGGGCATTCTTACCATTCAATGGTGGCCCAAGAATTTGCTTAGGCCAGCAATTTGCATTAACAGAAGCTTCCTATATTGTTGTTAGGTTAATACAAATGTTCCCTAACTTGAGTAGTTTCTGTGAAGAATATCCTCCAAGAAAGAATACCCAACTAACTATGAGTCATCAAAATGGTGTTTACATTGGCATGTTCTAATCAGAATGCTTCTATCAGTCCTAGGCTAAGAGTACTTATTAGTAACATCGAAGAACGCTTCAAAAATGACTTGAAGTTTAATGCAGGACTAACTTTTGAAATGGCATATTTTTTATTTGATGATTTTCTCCGCGCAGCAAGGGTCTTAAAGGTCCAATACATTTTAAATAGACATGTGAAGTCATTTCAATCTCCATTATATACTAGAATTAGATAGAATAAACATTCCGTTGAATCCCCATGTTTGCACCGATTTTTTTTGTTGGACACTTACTGTAATTGCTATTGTTTGCCGAACAAAGCGCATTAAATCGGTGTAAATATAACCGAAGAAACTCCTTTTACTCGAGTCATATACATGCAATTAATTATATTTATATAGCCAGAGCGGCATTCAAATAAATTAATAAAAAGAACCAAATAAGTTATCGAGAAGTAGAAAAAATAATTTTTAAATATGTCATCAAGTGCTCATGAGTTGTTTAGATATATTGAACCATATGTAACCAATTGGTGGTTGATCTGTATAGGAATATACGTGTTGTTCAGCATATTGACATGGATCAATGGACGTATTTTAATGAAAAAACTTGGTGCAAAGCCAATACAATTCGTTGCGCCGGATCCATATTGGGGTATTCCATTAATGTTCAGACTTTTGAGGAAGAAGAAGGAAGGAACCATGGTAGACATGACAAAGGAAAGATTCGAAGAATTCGGAATCGAGACATTTAGCTTTAGAGTAGGCGGAACGCCTGTTATAACGACAAAAGACCCAGAGAATATTAAAGCAATGTTGGCTACACAATTCAATGATTTTGCTTTGGGGAAAAGACACACTTATTTTAAACCGTTATTAGGAGATGGTATTTTCACATTAGATGGAGCAGGATGGAGGCACTCACGGGCAATGTTGAGACCACAATTTGCTCGGGAGCAAGTTGCACATGTAAAGTCGTTAGAACCTCACTTGCAGACACTTGCCAAACACATCATAAATTTTAAGGGAGAAAGATTCGATATCCAGCCATTATTTTTTAGATTGACTATTGA